GTCAATAGAGATAACTATGTTATATGGACTTGGATCATATATGTTATTATACTACTCATAATTAAATAGAAATATTGTTTTTATATATATATATATATATATATATATATATATATATATATATATATGTATACATACATACATACACACACACACATGCATACACACACATCATTACAAGTGGAAATTTAAAGAAACAAAACAAAACACATACTACTGGAACACTGCCAAATGTCTATACAACTTAAGCCCTGTGGGGCAGTGCCAGCTGTTATAGTCCAACAGCCAGCACCAGTTGCTGTCAGAATACCTGAACAGTGCCTGCAATAGCACACTGTATTGCCAGGAATGTCTGGCCTGACCCCTTGAACAAAAGTTGACTGAAAAATAGGGGAATAATAATGGACATAACTGTGTTAAATAGTTTGTATTTGTATGGAGCAAAATTTGGCAAATATGGATTTTTGTTTGAGATTATTTCAGCTGATTTAAAGATATTCAAATAATAAAAGTAAATATAATTTCTTTTTAATTGTTAAAAGTAGCAAGCTTGATGACGCAATGGGGTTTATTTACTAAAGTTGGAGAGTCCAAAATCAGACTCCCTTCTGCATAGAAACCAATCAGCTTCCAGGTTTCATTGCCAAAGCTTCATTGAACAAGCTGAGGTTAGAAGCTGATTGGTTTCTATGCAGAAGGGAGTCTGATTTTGGACTCTCCAGCTTTAGTAAATAAACCCCAATGTATTTATTTATGTATGCCTAGCTTTCAAAATGTGTATCTCCAAAGTCACTTTAATTGTGTGATGTGCACAGTATACAGTACATGTATGATTATTCTTTAATTTTAAAAATATTAAACCTAAAAGCAAACATTTTTTTATATTGCAGCCTACCAATTCTTAGATGTGATGGATGCATTCATTTTCTTTTCTTTTTCATCTGCTGATCCAGCTAGTAAGTCTGTTTGGTTTTTTTTGGGGTTTTTTAGCAGAACAAGCTCCTCTGTGAAGGTAGCAGTTAGAGGGCTGTGACAAAATATTTAGCACTTACAGCCATGCTTACAATGGCCAGATTTTATTTATTCTTGTAAAACCTTTTTCCCAGAAAAACTGCTTGTGTAACTGCAGTATTAGCTGAAGTTTGACTTCAATTTGTTAGTGTATCTAAATCTACTAGTATGTCTAACACTCCCCTCCCCCCAGACAGACAATGCTGCCCAAAGGTGCACCCTGTGATCCAGATTGCTGGCACTCTAAAAACAGGATGTGTGTTACTTGCTAGGTCACCAGGTGAAAACAGGAAAAAATAAATAAATAAATAAATCAAATGCAGCTACAAAATGATCGGTAAGCTGCAATGTATTACATTTTTGGTATAGGGGTTTAATATGGCTTTAAGTTGTTAATGTTAAAATAAGATTGTTTTCTAAAAACACCAGTATTGCCTTTATAGAAGCCTATATTGTTTTTGCTGAAGCCTAGAGCCCCTGAGCAGCAGTAAATCTTTAGGCTGTCAGCAGATTGGCCACCACATTTTCAGCACAGAGCCTAAAAATAGAGAGCACCTGAGAATTTACAGAGCAGTGTTAACACAGTAAATTTCTGGATTTTAAACAGTATAGACAATTATTTTTAACATTTTCATAGATAGACCTGCAAAAGGGGCCAGCATGAAGAGATCTAGCAGGACTTATTTTTCTGACTAAAGTTCCACTTTAAAGTGGCTGTAAAGGCTGAAAGTAAAAAAAACCTTCTGTGTGCCCCACAGGCCCCCCCACAATACTCACCTGCACCCCCTCTTGATCCAGAGATGTGCACAAGAGCTTCGGCTGTCTCGGATCTCTCCCTCATTATTCGCTGAGACACAGCAGCGGAAGCCATCAGCTCCCACTGCTGTCAATAACAGCCAGTGAGCCAAAGAGGAGAGAATGGGGTGGGCCCGAGCCATGGCTCTATGTGTCTTATAGACACAGAGTGGGGCTTGGGAGCGAGCACACACAAGTACCCAGCAAGCGGCTTGCTATTGGAGGCACTGGTCAAGGGGGAGGAGTCAGGAGCGCCAGAGGGAGACCCGAGAAGAAAAGGATCGGGGCTGCTCTGTGCAAAACCATTGAACAGAGCGGTAAGTAAATTATGCTTGTTATTTTTTTTATTTTTTTTAAACTAACCTATAAGACTTTAAGATAATTTTCTGGCACGTTTTTCTAGGGATTGAGTTATGATGTAAGAGAAAACTGAATCCTTAGATAAACTGAAGTCTGTAAATTGTTGGTATATTCTTTGCACGCTGTCCTAAAAATCTGAGAGTTTAGGGTAGTCACAGATGATGTGTAATAAAGAACCTTTAACATCTCTGCATCTCCAACTTCAATCGGGAATGGACGACATGTGTTTATGGAGTAGTGATGGGGTCCTGTAGTTGCATTACTGGATCTTGGTATAGATCAATGATTTTAAAGTGAATGGATATATTTTATGGCGCTGGTCTGAGCATATTTAGATTATGTTCCCAATGAGATTGTTTAAAAATATCTAAAAAAACCATATCGAATCTGTGTGATTTTTTTTTATTGCTGACAACATAACATCAGAACACTATAGCTTTCCATAACAGCATGAAAATATACTCGGAAAAAGGCAGCAGTCACCTCCATTGTCTGATGACGTGTGCCTCCTAGTGGTTAGGCTGCATACAGCTTTCTAAAGGAGAAAAAGCCTTCGTAATTCCCCAGCTATATTTGGCATAGCATTACCTAGCCTTTATAAAAGGATAATTAATCCAAGAAAGGCAATGTTTTTTGTTTCTTTGTCACGATCTAGTTTTCACTCCCACATTCCTATCAATTCACGGAGTGTGATATTCCTACACAAATCTGGAGGTATTGCCTACAGACATGTTAGATCAGCATTCTGATGACTTAAGTTATTCATGCATGTAATAAAATAACTGTCTAACCTGACTCAGAATCAGTGTCTGGATCTTCAAAAGATTTATCCATGCAATTGTATGGCCTAATCTTGAAGATCCAGACACTGGCACTCTGTCCAAACTTTGTGTGGGGAAAATGTGACCAAAGGCAGACGGTATGCAGATCTGCATGCAGATGTGGTCATTAAAGGGAAAATGCAGTTTATTTTCAGTGACTGCACTTTAGAGCAGTGTATACCCTAAATCATTTTTGGTTTGCCTTTCACATTTCTACATGCCTGTTCATCCTTGTTCTTTTTTACCTGCAGACTACATAGATTTGTAGCTTGACACCTAGTGGCAGCTTCACTGGCAGCACTCCCACTTTACCTGCTTAAAGCAATAGTAAACTGCCTAAAAATCCAAAATAGGGCCCCTGCAGGATAATGCCACCATGTGCTAGTATTCATCACATACTAGCACATTATGACAGACTTTCTTTAAAACAAAGCCCTGCAGCAGTGTGCTGTCACCGCTGTCAAATCTTCCATCTTCATCCAGTCTTCCTCCGGAGTTACTGGCCATTGAATGGCTGAGCAGTGATGATGCCACTCCCACGCTTGCACTTGGGAGTCACTGCTGTGGCACTGCTCTCTCATTGGCTGGCATGCTGTCCATTGAGAGTGCAGTGTGCATACTCCAGGGATGTCATCGGTTGCTGCTAAAGTAAATATCTTCCCAATGGAGAACATTTAGAAGACATTTACTATATCTACAGGTAAGCCATAAGATATCAGCCACATATTGCCTCAGGAGATCATCCCATATATATATATATATATATATATATATATATATATATATATATAATCAATTGCACAATATTTTAGCTGCAGGATGTCAATATTGCAGCAGGACACAGCTTTGAGAGTGGAGTATATGTAAATCCAGTCACTTAAATTTCACATAAGATGTAATTTGTTAATGTAATTTTCTATCATTTTTAAATCTGTAACTTTCACAAAAAAAAATAAGAAAAAATACTTTGTAAACTGGATCCTTACACAAGCACTGTTATAGGGTGACCACACTAGCTCTATGTTTCCCTGTTGTCCTCCCATGTTGTCACCCGCTAATAGCACGTACCTAACTGTTGCAGCCACAACTTTATGTAATTACTGCTGTTTTCCTGGACTTGGGCTTAAAATAAATGCATATTGAATAGAGCTGTATAAAGTGGCTTTTATAACTTTCTAGAGTTCAGCCTTAAAGAGACCCTGAAATATTTAAGGTAAAAACAAAAAGAAAAATCAAGTATTTTTAACATATACTTGTGGCATTTTTTCCAGCAGCAGCGTTGGTCTCTCTTCCTGCTCTCACAGAATAGACAGAGCAGTGGGAGCTATTGGTCCCAGTTGTCAGTTTCTGAGATCATAGAGGGGGAGGAACAATGCACGTTCCGACTCATCACATCACTACTGGGCTCTCCTGTCCCTGCAGGTGCCGCCTGTAAAAGCGATCAAGTGCCTGAATAGCTACTCAGATCACTTTTATTTTGTAGGAAATCGGTGGACCTAAAAAATGATCATGATCATTGGTGCAGCTGCAGTGATGACTGAGAGATCACCCTTCCCGTCTGAGGACATATATGTATGTGTATATATGTATTGCAGACGAGAAGCAGTTAAAAACCTAGGTACTTCCCTTTATAATAGAAAAAAAAAAGTCAAGCTTTCATTTTTACATGCACTGGCTACTAAGCCCCTTGTTCAGTCCAGTTTCAGTATTATGATTATATAGAAGTTACCAGTCTCAACTTAACCAAGGATACAAGAACACTTTTTGGAAAGAAAATAAATGCATGATTTATTTATGTACAATTCACCACAAACCATAAGTTCACTTATTTTCAACTCTAAAAATTATTTGAAAAAATAAATATTGCTGTCGTTTAGAGAAGCTGATTGATGATCTGCTTGTAGATTCTCCAAAGGAAATAAAGAGAGTGGTACTTTGACCTTCAGACATAGAAATCTCATTTTGTGCAGAGGACAGAGAATCCGATCCCGAAGTGGCTACGAAAGGAATGTATTACAACCCAAACCAATCATTAAGTCCTCCTCTGCGTGGATCGCTGCGCTGACGCTGTTTCTCATCCTCCATGAATTCTGCTTGGATCTGTTCAATTGAGCCCTGCTCAGAAGCATCCTCCTTCTCTGGAAAAAGATCTGGGAATTGGAAGGTCTTTCCTTGGCCCTGTAGAAATGGAGAAAAGGATCAGGTTCAGAGGTGTTCAATATAGTTCTAAAAAAACTAATTATGCAATGTAATGGTATTACAACACAGCTCATATCAGAAATTAAACTGTGCCACTGACAATGCCAAGTGGCTGAACACGACCAGAGTCACAGTAATAATGCAACCACACTGATGTCATGGTCTCAGACATTGGGCGCTGAGCAGAAAAACAAAGCAGCAGCACAGGCTGAGATGGTTAACATTATATCAGGATCACAGGCACATCATAGGAAATAATAAAGCTCTGAATCAGAGACATTTCTAACTCAATCCAGGAAGAATGTCTGTCATAAACACACAGTGCATTACAATACAACCCTCGTTTTCAAAGCTCAGAACATTTGAGTCACCAAACATGTGTTGTTGACTCTTGGGAACAGACATGCAGCCTTTGGAGAGCTAGCATCACAAAAATCATCACCAGACTCCAGAGGACAGACTCTGGAGGACCAGTATAAAGAAGAAAGCCCATGGCCAATCACCTACTGGAATGACCATGGTGGTGCAGGAGGAAGAGCTGTTTACTAATAAATCAAGGTCCAAAACGCTGGAGTTGATTTACTAAAACCGGAGAGTACAAAATCCAATCAGCTTGCAGGCTTTTTGCTTTAAGTGGTAGTAAACTTTGTTTTTTCAAAAATTGTTGACGGACAGGATATTTATGACAGAAGAGACCCTGTCAGCCATCATGTACACTGAGCCACGCATGCAGCCCCGATCCGTGCCGTTATGATGTGACTCCCGTGCGCATGCGTGGGAGGCACATCATAGCGGCCCAGCCAATCAAGCAGCTGCAGGCAAGGAACCCAGAAAGAAGCCTGGGCAAAGATGGAAGCGCCCGGGACCCACCGGATCAATTCCGCTGGAGGGCTCGGTTTGACAAGTAAGTATGCCATAATGTACTAATATGCTGTGCATACTAGTACATTATGGCAGAACACACCTGAGGGCCCCTAAAAAAGAACAAGCTGAAATTAGAAGCTGATTGGCTACCATACACAGCTGCACCATATTTTGCACTCTAAAGTTTTAGTAAATTAACCCCAAAGTCTCTAAATTCTGGCCCTAAGGAATTCCTCCTCCTAAACTGGAAATGTTTTGCTTCCTGCTAGTTAGCCTCTTGAAACATGCTGTGTTATCTTGGCTGTATGATGCAAGTGACAACTGTTCTTCTCAGTGATATGTCTCTGGTGGTTGCAGACGAGCAATTACAGCTTTAAAGAGGAGCTTCAGTCATATGTGTGAAAATGAATTCAGCAGCTACAAAAACTGTAGCTTCTGACTTTTAATAGGACACTTACCTGTCATAGGATCCAGCACTGGGCTCAGCTGAGCCAGTTTCTTCACCGGTCTTCACTCCCTGGCCCCACCATCTCATCTATGGCTAGCTAGCTGTGACTGCTTGCATCTTCACAGCCTACTGCTCGCTGCGCTTCCTGATGGTTCTGCAATCTTCTGGGACCTGCGATGTGTCCCAGAAGGCTGCGGGCTGGAAGGGGGGGGGGAGAAGTTTTGTTCGGATCGCCTGCTCCTAGGCAGGCTGCTGTGGTTGCAGGACACCTGACCTCGATTGTTGCAGATGATGTTTAAACAGCTCTGAGACAAGCCCTTGAATAACTATACAACTATACTGTATCTAACCTGCCTACGTATCTAGTAATTTGGTCCCAATTTTTGCAGTTCAAGCCTAAGAAAATCTATACTGAGAGAAATATTTAAAGTGGTACTAAAGATTTGGCTTTAAAAAAAAAAAAACAAAAAAAAAACTTTTTATGCTTACCTGCTCTGTACATTGGTTTTGCACACATCAGCCCCGATCCTCTTCTTTTTGGGTCCTCTGGCTCCTCCCCCTTGAACAGTGCCCCCAATTGCAAGCCGCTTGCTATGAGGACACTGGTGCGTGCTCGTTCCCGGGCCTGACTCTCTGCATCTATAAGACACATAGAGCCGCAGCTCAGCCCCGCCCTCTCCTCATTGGCTCACTGTCTGTGATCGACAGCAGTGGGAGGCAATGGCTCCTGCTGCTGTCTCAGTCAATGAGGAGAGGGAGTCCTGGGACAGCCAAGACATTCGTGCACATTGCTGGACCGAAAGGGGACTCAGGTAGGTATTAGGGAGGGCTAGGGGGCTGCTGCACAAAGGTGGTTTTTAAAAACCTCCTGCCTTTACAATCACTTTAAGCTGCCAATGTGAACCTCTTCCTTGCCTGGTTATCAAGATAGTTCTTTGGCTAACCAAATACTGTAGTTTCTTATTTTTAAAATCAGGCATCTATAAGTCTTTAGAGTCCAGTGCTGTCTTCCCACAGCCAGTTCTTCTCACTACTGCGGGTCCGTGGTACTGCTATTTTGGATTTGGAAGCTAGCTAAGATTTCCTGAGGCAGAACAACCTGCACCCCATCAGGAAGTGCAGTGAGACTGGTTCTGGTGCCTCCTGGGACATGTGACATGTTCCAGGAGGTGGAGGGAGGGGCAGAACAAACATACATGTATAAGAGAAAACTTACAGAATGGGACTTTGTATGTACAATGAATTAAATAAGTTGGTTCCAATTCTTCAGTTCTTGCCTATAGGAGACTGATGTTGTTTGTTTGTACAGTGAAGGAAATAAGTATTTGATCCCCTGCTGATTTTGAATGTTTGCCCACTCACAAAGAAATTAACAGTCTAAAAATCGAATGGTAGGTGTATTGTAACACAGAGAGACAGAATAGCAACAACAAATTCAAAAGAAATGCATGTGTAAAAAAAATGATGCACTGATTTGCATGTTCATGAGGGAAATAAGTATTTGATCCGCTTCACAAAATATGACTTAGTACTTGGTGGCAAATCCTTTGTTGGCAATCACAGAGGTCAGACGTTTCCTGTAGATGGCCACCAGGTTTGCACACATCTCAGGAGGGATTTTGGCCCACTCCTCTTGGCAGTTCCTCTCCAAGTCAGTAAGGTTTGGTGGCTGACATTTGGCAACTCGAACTTTCAGCTCCCTCCACAGATTTTCAATCGGATTAGGGTCTGGAAACTGGCTAGGCCACTCCAGGACCTTAATGTGCTTCTTCTTGAGCCACTCTTTTATTGCCTTGGCCGTGTGTTTTGGGTCATTGTCATGCTGGAACACCCATCCATGACCCATTTTCAATGCCCTGGCTGAGGGAAGAATTTTCTCACCCAAGATTTGACGGTACATTGCCCCGTCCATTGTCCCTTTGATGCGGTGCAGTTGTCCTGTCCCCTTAGCAGAAAAACACCCCCAAAGCAGAATGTTTCCACCACCATGTTTGACAGTTGGGATGGTATTCTTGGGGTCATAGGCAGCATTCCTCCTCCTCCAAACACGGCAAGTTGAGTTGATGCCAAAGAACTCGCATTTGGTCTCATCTGACCACAACACTTTCAACCAGTCCTCCTCTGCATCATTCAGATGTTCAGTGGCAAACTTCAGACGGGCCTGGACATGTGCTTTCTTGAGCAGAGGGACCTTGCAGGCACTGCAGGATTTCAATCCTTGTCGGCATAGTGTGTTACCAATTGTTTTCTTGGTGACTGTGGTCCCAGCTGCCTGGAGATCATTGATAAGTTCCTCACATGTAGTTCTGGGATGATTCCTCACAGTTCTCATGATCATTGACACTCCACGAGGTGAGATCTTGCATGGTGCACCAGACCTAGGGAGACTGACAGTTATTTTGTGTTTCTTCCATTTGCAAATGATTGCACCAACTGTTGTCATCTTCTCACCAAGCTGCTTGGCGATAGTTTGGTAGCCCAGTCCAGCCTTGTGTAGGTCTATAATCTTGTCCCTGACATCCTTGGACAGCTCTGTGGTCTTTGCCATGGTGGAGAGTTTGAAATCTGATTGTTTGATTTCTCCTGTGGACAGGTGTCTTTTATACAGGTAACAAAATGAGATTAGCAGCACTCCCTTTAAGAGACTGCTTCTAATCTCAGCTTGTTACCTGTATGAAAGACACCTGGTAGTCAAAAATCCTGCTGAATCATAATGTTTGGTATTTTTTTCATTCATATAGCAAAAAACGAAAAACCCAGTGGCGATCAAATACCACCAAAGGAAAACTCTGTCTCAAAAGAAGGATAAAAATGTCATATGGGTACAGTGTTGAATGACTGAGTAATTTTCAATCAAAATGTGAAAGTGCTGAAAGCTGAAAATTGGCCTGGACTGGAAGTGGGTGAAAGTGTCCAGACTTGAAGTGGTTAAAGTAGCAATCCAGTCAAATCTTAACTATTCCTAAACCTGTTCCCACCCCCATTCTAAGCACCCTTTAAAAGAAGAGATTTACACATACCGATTCTGAGAGTGCTCCGGTCAGCTCACATCATCTTTACAGCGGCCAGATTCAGTGAAGAGGAGAGTTCGCCGTCCACGGCTGCAGAACCTGGGCAATAACATCACCCATAGGTTTACCTATGGGGCATTCATTGTCGGCAAATGGACCCGATCATGTGAATGGACTGGAGTGCCCTCAGCATATGTAAGCATAGACATCTTTACTTTCACAGGATATTTAGAATAGGCTTAGAATGGGGCTGGGAATAGACTTCGGTATAGTTAGGACTTGACTGGAATGCTACTTTACTTATTTTAATAAATAGAAGCACCCCCAGAGTACAAAACAAAAAAAACAGACATATTGATTTAAAAAAGGTATAAGGGACAGAACTTACCAGCTGAACATAGGCCATCTTGTAATCTGGCTGCTTCACTCGTTGATTTAGATGGTTTCTTTTTTTGTTGCTGCCTAAAATTCAGTGCTTGCATTAGTTACTGTAGAATAATTTAGTCTAATTTGCATTTACATTGCCATGCCACTTACCATACTGGATGCGAGTGCGCACACATGACACTGGTATGTTGTATATACTCTGCAGATAGTTTTGGACATCAAACTTTGTCATTCTGTAGAGTAAAAAACATGACATGGTAAGAATGCACTGCCATACATTTCCTCAAAAATACAAAATACCACATATGAGATTTTATAAGGAAGCAGGGGCAGAAAGTGAGAACCGTTTTCAGAGCAAGTTCGGGCAGCCAGTGTTATCAAGCTCGTGACACAATCCAGGAAACACTATGAACTTGTAACACAATCCAGGGAACACTGCAACTATCAAAGTCAGTTTAGAGTGCAGACGTACCCATCTTCTGAAATATCAAAATTCTTTTGACTGTCGATACCAAGCATGTGTGCAATGCCATGGCATTAGTTATGGGACCAATTCCTTCGTTCTGTACATCTTTCCTCTGACTGACAGTTTTTGTCTACAACCTGGGGAAAGATGTAGCCCACAGCAAGCAAGCTACCCAAAACACCTGAGCAGTTGCAGAGAGCAACAATTCCAAGTCTGCTATCGCTGAGCTCTCACTATAGAAAAATGTGTACTTCTCTTTACCTGAAGACAGCAAATACTGCACCATCAGGGTAACATAAAACAGATTTAATTAAAAACACAAGCCATCAACTCACTGCTGAAAGGCACATGGCTAAAAGCCTGTGGCTGCAAGCTTGACACTGGACTCTGCTGGAGAGCCAAAGACAAACTTTGTTATGCATTTTTGTGGTTTTTAAGTAAAAGAACAATCCTGTAAAAGAATTTGTTTTCTTGGTGTCTCTCAAAACAGAAATCCTAACAATCTCTCTGAAGAAACCAGTTCCTTGTGTATACAGTGACTAAAGAGATACAGGACGGTGCTCTATCTGGTGATAGATATATGTCTGCTGCAAAGATATACCTAACCTAAGCTGCCTGTAAGTAAGAGATCTGATTGAGTGTACGTGACATAAGCAGAGGTACTTCCATGCAGTAAAGTGGTCATAGCACATCGATATTTGTGTCTTTAAAACAACCCCATTCCTGATGTGCTTAGTCAGTAACAAGTCATGAGGAAAATACTGACATGTGTGGAATTAATAATCGAGAGGTATGGCAAAGGAGAAGAAAGGGGTGTTTACTGGATGTTTTTGTGACTCTGCAAGCTAACCAGTATTTGCCAGTCCAATCAAGGAGTCAGTAGACAATTTTAACTTCAACAGACAGTTAAAGTGGTTCTAAAAGCAAGACATTTTTTACCTTAAAGCAGAACTAAACCCATCAATTTAACCGTTTCAAAAACAGTTACATTCCGGGCATGATGGGAATGCTAACTGTCATATTTGTTTGTGCTGTCAACCAAACTGTCAAACCATAAATGTCTGGTGTCCTAACTAATCACATGTGCAACGCCATGTCAGCTGCAGATTAAACAGCGGCTAAGATGGCAGCTTCCTTGTCTGAAAAGGATAGGAGGGTTTAGTTCTGCCTTAAAGCATTCCCTGCAATAAGATAATAATTGGATCACCCCCTCACCTTCCTAAGTACCTACCTGAGTCCTGTATTGATCCAGCACTGCGCCCACTGCAAGTCTTTTCTCCTCTCTCTTCTCTCAGCATATTACACTGAGAGCAGCAGGAGACACTACCTCCTGCTGCTGTCAGTCAAATCCTGTGAGCAGAAAGCAGGAGGCCCGAGTCGCGCACATTTGTCTATGGACACACGCAGCCCAGCTCGGGAGCAAACCCGCACATCTACTGGCTTGCTATGGGGGGCAGACACAAAAGTAAAAAACAAATATCGTCAGCGGGGTACCCCAGAGAGGGAGGTTCGGAGCTGCTCTATCCAATGACATTGCACAGAGCAGGTAAGTATAATATATTTATTATTTTAGGGGAAAAAATGAGCTTTAATGCATTCCCTACACTAAGGTAAAAACCACCCCACTATCTGTCCTACCTACCCCCCTCTAAAGACTTATCTGACCTCCGTCATCACTCCAGCACTATCTCAGCTGCAGAACTGATCCTTTCATTTCCTAGTCTCATAAGAAACACTGAGGGTAGTGGAAGCCATAGGCTTCTGCTGCTGTCAGTCAAACTCATATGAGGGGGGCAGCAAAGCCATGGCTTACAGGCACTCTGTGTGTCTAATAAATATCAAATATTTGCCAATACCGACACTTTGCAGTGCAATTTGCGTTAATGGACCCAAATTGCACCGCAAAGAATAGCATATGATTTGGACAGGAATACAATTCCTGTCCAAATCGCATGCAGTTTCCCACTGCTCCTGTGTGAACCGAGGCTTGTCACAGCCTGAGATCACACAAGAGTGGTGTGTGAAATGTCTCGCTTGAAATCCCCACTGCTTTCCCTCCTCTCCTACCACTGACACTCAGCATGGGATACCTGCAGGGAGGATTCACGTACCACTCCTGTGTGAACACAGGAACAGTGGGAAACCGCATAAGATTTGGACAGGAATCGCATTCCTTTTCAAATCACATGCTAATCTTTGCAGTGAAATTTGTATCCATTAACGCAAATTGCACCGCAAAGTATCAGTTAAGGTATCGGTAGTATTTTCAGGAGTACAAGTACTCATGAAAATACTCGGTATCAGCACTAATACCGGTATCAGTGCATCCCTAGTTAGAACCCCTGTTGGGCTCTCTCTCTTCTACTGACAACATTTTGGCAGAAAGTGGAGGGGAGCTCATCATCAGAAACAGAAACAAAAACGAAAAGTGGGAGAAGGGTAGAAAACTCAGATTATATTCCTCTCTGTGTCTGATACAGACTTTCCTTCACTTTTCTGCTTGGTTAAGTTGCAGGGATGCAAAGGTGGGGCACAATTTCTCCAACAGAGCCCCAGACAGCAGTAAAAAAAACCCAACTGGTCCTAATCCTTTCCCACTCTATCAAGAAAAAAGGTAAAAAAAAAAAAGTTTTTGGCTTACACTTTAAAGCTGAACGTCATGCAGATATAAATGGAACTAATTAATTAGGCCTTGTAATAATAAATACATCATTAAATGTAGATTTATGTGAATTTGATCTGGTGTCAGTTTCTTGCATTCTGCTGTACAGCCTGCAAAGCAGAGCTCAGAGAGGTGGAGGGAGAAACAACACAAGGAGCCAGTCAGGTGAAGCAGCACAAGGAGCCAGTCAGGTGAAGCAGCACAAGGAGCCAGTCAGGTGAAGCAGCACAAGGAGCCAGTCAGGTGAAGCAGCACAAGGAGCCAGTCAGGTGAAGCAACACAAGGAGCCAGTCAGGTGAAGCAACACAAGGAGCCAGTCAGGTGAAGCAACACAAGGAGCCAGTCAGGTGAAGCAACACAAGGAGCCAGTCAGGTGAAGCAACACAAGGAGCCAGTCAGGTGAAGCAACACAAGGAGCCAGTCAGGTGAAGCAACACAAGGAGCCAGTCAGGTGAAGCAACACAAGGAGCCAGTCAGGTGAAGCAACACAAGGAGCCAGTCAGGTGAAGCAGCACAAGGAGCCAGTCAGGTGAAGCAGCACAAGGAGCCAGTCAGGTGAAGCAGCACAAGGAGCCAGTCAGGTGAAGCAGCACAAGGAGCCAGTCAGGTGAAGCAGCACAAGGAGCCAGTCAGGTGAAGCAGCACAAGGAGCCAGTCAGGTGATGCAACACAAGGAGCCAGTCAGGTGAAGCAGCACAAGGAGCCAGTCAGGTGAAGCAGCACAAGGAGCCAGTCAGGTGAAGCAGCACAAGGAGCCAGTCAGGTGAAGCAGCACAAGGAGCCAGTCAGGTGAAGCAGCACAAGGAGCCAGTCAGGTGAAGCAGCACAAGGAGCCAGTCAGGTGAAGCAGCACAAGGAGCCAGTCAGGTGAAGCAGCACAAGGAGCCAGTCAGGTGAAGCAGCACAAGGAGCAGCCAGTCAGGTGAAGCAGCACAAGTAGCCAGTCAGGTGAAGCAGCACAAGTAGCCAGTCAGGTGAAGCAGCACAAGGAGCCAGTCAGGTGAAGCAGCACAAGGAGCCAGTCAGGTGAAGCAGCACAAGGAGCCAGTCAGGTGAAGCAACACAAGGAGCCAGTCAGGTGAAGCAACACAAGGAGCCAGTCAGGTGAAGCAACACAAGGAGCCAGTCAGGTGAAGCAACACAAGGAGCCAGTCAGGTGAAGCAACACAAGGAGCCAGTCAGGTGAAGCAACACAAGGAGCCAGTCAGGTGAAGCAACACAAGGAGCCAGTCAGGTGAAGCAACACAAGGAGCCAGTCAGGTGAAGCAACACAAGGAGCCAGTCAGGTGAAGCAACACAAGGAGCCAGTCAGGTGAAGCAACACAAGGAGCCAGTCAGGTGAAGCAACACAAGGAGCCAGTCAGGTGAAGCAACACAAGGAGCCAGTCAGGTGAAGCAACACAAGGAGCCAGTCAGGTGAAGCAACACAAGGAGCCAGTCAGGTGAAGCAACACAAGGAGCCAGTCAGGTGAAGCAACACAAGGAGCCAGTCAGGTGAAGCAACACAAGGAGCCAGTCAGGTGAAGCAACACAAGGAGCCAGCCAGGTGAAGCAACACAAGGAGCCAGTCAGGTGAAGCAACACAAGGAGCCAGTCAGGTGAAGCAACACAAGGAGCCAGTCAGGTGAAGCAACACAAGGAGCCAGTCAGGTGTGCTGCACTACAAGGAGTATAACGATAGGAGGAGAGAGCAGATTGAGAGAGATAGGTTCATCAGGGTGCTGCTTCACCTTTAACATTCTGGACACAAAATGGGGAGGAAACTTGTAGGTGAAACTGCAATAGAGAACGATCAGGTCCCTTTCCCTGCAAGACAGGACTGTGCTGTGTGGCAAAGTTGTGCAAATCTCAGGAATAGATGGACAGAAATACAAGTACTTTTGGAAGATAAAATAGCTTTCATGCACTACATGTTCCTGTATCGTTTAAAAACCCCTTCGTCCCCTAGACTGCAATCAAAGGCTCCAAAATTCTATAAGATTGTCTCTATTCCAGATGGAGGCATGTGTAACATTGTCAGAGTAGATGCATATGCTTACGCAATAGGAATACGGAATTGCACTGTGTCTGGGGGCTGCTCTTTGCCAGGTCTGACCAGGGTCATGAAGAAGTTTGTTCGGAACACACGTAGTTGTGGATTTCCAAGCTGGTAAAGGGGATATCTAGAATAGCAGAAGAATAAATATGTTCAGAAAACATAGCCACTAATTAAAAACATCAAATTCTTTGCAAGTAAAATCACATTTTGTTAATCCATCCATTTCAGTAGTTATATATACGTCACATATATTTCTAAAACCTCCACTCTTTGCCCACTAATTTTTAGTAACTTCTCAAATATTTACTTGCTCCTGTTTTTCATAATTCTGATAGCCTATATCACTAATCAAAGAAAATCATTGGGATGTCATAAACGCATCCTTTCTGCTACTGCGGTCAATTACAAGGGATGAGTAGAGTGTAGAATTATGAAAGTCAAAAGGAAAAAAATAAAACATACCTGAAGGGCCTATTCTCACAGACGCTCAGCCTCACATAGAGTGAAGAGTTGTGTGCATGCTTCTGTACTTGCAGCGAGCTGCATGCAGGAAGGTCATAGAAGTGCATTGGACGTATGGACTTACCTGTACAGCCAAGTATGACAGGTACACAGGAATGGGTGCATGGCCCCCCAACACAAAATCTGTGCTCCCTGCATACCTGTCAAATTCAGCTGTGTAGGCAGTTCATAGAGTCAGTCAGTTTTCCATCCACTGCTTGCATTTGAAAACACTTAGTCCCGGTCCACATATATGCGGCCGTGCGGGACACGTTTTGCACGGGCACGAGAGCCCATTCATTGGAATGGACTCCCGTGCCCGTGACACGCAGGGAAGAAGTCCCTGCACTTCTTCTGAAAATGCAGCCCGCACGGTAACCTCGGTTCCCAGTCCGGTTGCGTTTTCCAGTGCAGGTGGCGTGCCATTAGGACTGATAGCACCCACCCGCGGGTCCGCTTTCCTCTGTATGGGTGGTGCGGCTACATGGATTTTGTGCGGATCCGCAGCTGCACTACCCACACAGATGTGAACCTAGCCTTAAAGCTGAACTCAAACATAAAAGAAAACTACCTTTGCGGTGGAGCTTCCACCCCACTGCATGGGTTGAACGTGTGCTTTTGCCTGGGAAAACCATATAAAATCACTTTCACTTACCTCATCCCTGGTTCCTGCACGCTTCCTCCTCTTCATTGTGACTAGTCCCTCTGAAGTCTCTTCTCTGCAGCCATCCATCTGTCAGTTTCACTATGAAGTCATCAAGTACAATGAAGAACCAGCAGTCCTCTATTATAAGTGAGGACGCTGAGCGCCCTCCCACAACCTGGAGACCTGGTTGGAAGAGGAGAGCGCCAGCTACTGTCTTTTGAATTTCCCTGGAGTTCAGCCTGAAAATAAAACTAAAGGCAAAGTTTTTTTCTCCCCATTTTGGATGGTTATAATCCTGCAAATGTTTTTTCCATCTGCATCCCATTGTTGACATTTCCCTTCACTTCCTGTTCCATAGCAAAACGGAAAGTGACAGGAAATCCTTCTAAGTTGAGGGAATCCTGGGGTGTCATCAGAACTAGTGTCCCCAATTGGAAGACTTCCCTTCCATTCCTGTTCTGGTGACAATCCAAAATTTGGGAATTTATATTAAATTCACATTAGGGATAGTGGTAAACAGGACAAATAGAGAGGCTGAACCTTCCTAACTGGGACACAGACAGTAATAAAAAGCTGACAGTTGTTCTAATCCTTCTCCACTCTATCCAAAACTATAAAAAAAAAGTTCTGCATTTAGTTATACTTTAAGAGGAAAAACATTTGAAGAATTGTCACAGGCATATAGTGCCTTGAAGAAGTACTCATACCCCTTGAAATTTTCCACATTTTGTCATGTTACAACCAACAACGTAAATGTATTTTATTGGCATTTTATGTTATAGACCAACACAAAGTGGCACATAATTGTGAAGTGGAAGGAAAGTGAAAAATGGTTTTCAAAAGTTTTTACAAATATCTGAAAAGTGTGGAATGCATTTGTATTCAGCTCACTTTACTCTGATACCCCTAACTAAAATGTAGTGGAAGCAATTGCCTTCAGAAGTCACCTAATTGGCAAATAGAGTTCACCTGTGTGTAATTTAATCTCAATATATATACAGCTGTTCTGGGAAGCCCTCAGTGCCTATTCACATACATGAGGATTGGATGCAGTTTGAACTGCATCCAATCCACATGACATGTGAAATAACATTGCTTCCTATGGTGCCTGTTCACATATGTCTGGTGCACTTCTGGTGCAGATTCAGTGAGGTTTAATAAAAGAGTTCTATACCATTTCTGAGCAGTGCGATTCATATCAGGTACGGATTACAGGCTATTGACATCTATGGAAACCGTTTCCAAACCTGACAAGGGTGATCAGGATAAAATCCTGAGTTGATCCTGTCCTGAACCTGATGTAAACCTAACCTGAACTGGTGAACAGCTACTGTGTCAATTAGCAGTGAAACCTGAGCTTCAATACGCACCCCACATGTGTGAATCAGCACTCATAGGTGTATTAGTGAACATTAGTAAACAAAGAGCATCATGAAGGCCAAGGAACACACCAGACAGGTCAGGGATAAAGTTGTGGAGAAGTTTAAAGCAGGATTAGGTTATAAAAAAATATCCCAGGCTTTGAAGATCTCATGGAGCACTGTTCAATCCATCATCCGAAAATAGAAAGAGTATGGCACAACTGCAAACCTACCAAGACATGACCGTCCACCTAATCGGAGAAGGCCGGGCAAGGAGAGCATTAATCAGAGAAACAGCCTAGAGGCTATGGTGACTTGGGGGGGAACTGCAGAGATCCACAGCTCAGGTATGAGAATCTGTCCACAGGACAACTATTAGTCGTGCACTCCACAAATCACAAAAGAAGAGTGGCAAGAAGAAAACCATTGCTGAAAGAAAGCCATAAGAAGTCCCGTTTCCGAGAAGCCATGTGGGGGGACACAGCAAACACGTGGAAGAAGGTGCTCTGGTCAGATGAGACCAAAATTGAACTTTCTGGCCTAAAAGCAAAACTAACACTGCACATCACCCTGAACACACCATCCCCACTGCGAAACATGGTGGCGGCAGCATCATGTTGTGGGGATGCTTTTCTTCAGCAGGGACAGGGAAGATGGTCAGAGTTGATGGGAAGATGGATGGAGCCAAATACAGGGCAATCTTAGAAGAAAACCTGTTAAGAGTCTCCAAAAGACTTGAGACTGGGGCAGAGGTTCACCTTCCTGCAGGACAACGACCCTAAACATCCAGCCAGAGCTACAATGGAATGGTTTAGATCAAAACATATTCATGTGTTAGAATGGCCCAGTCAAAGTCTAGACTGAAATCCAATTGAGAATCTGTGGCAAGACTTGAAAATTGCTGTTCACAGACGCTCTCCTCCGTCCAATCTGACAGGGCTTGAGCTATTTTGCAAAGAAGAATGGGAATAAATTTCACTCTCTAGATGTGCAAAGCTGGTAGAGACATCCCCAAAAAGACTTGCAGCTGTAATTGCAGTAAAAGGTGGTCCTACAAAGTATTGACTCCGGGGGGCTGAATACAAATGCACGCCACACTTTTCACATATTTGTAAAAAAAAAAAAAAAAAAAACTTTGAAAACCATTTATCATTTTTCTTCCGATTTAAAATTATGTGCGACTTTGTGTTGGTCTATCACATAAAATCCCAATAAAATACATTTATGTTTTTGGTTGTAGCATGACAAAATGTGGAAAATTTCAAGTGGTATGAATACTTTTTCAAGGCACTGTACCTCCTCACATACAATGCAGGACCACTAGCCCTGCTGGAGCAAGGAATGTGGGGAGTAATACAGCCTCTTCCTCTACCCCTAAAGTTATTATTCACCTTTAGGAACATGATACATCCGTATATAGAGTATAGAGTAACATGTTTCTAAGCTCACCTCCTGAGTCCATCCGCCACCTCCCAAGACAGGGATCAAGGCACCTCTCCCCCCGCCGCTGCTGTCACATTTCAAGTCAGCATGGCTGTGCGGGCAGAGCCCACACATCCATGTCATTCATCCAGAGATCTCTAATGAATAGAGATACACCAAAACGTTTCGGCCGCAAATACCTTTGGCCAATATGAAAATAGGCACCGATACAGGTGCCGAAAATAATCCCGCCCTCACCCAGTGGTTCTTCGCCTTACCTGAGAACCCATCCAACGATCCCAGCGCTGGGCATAGAGATTAGTGAAGGAAAGATGACCTCCACTCATTTCTATGCCCTTGGAGGACCGGAGTGACGTTATAACGTCACTTCCGGTCCAGGAACCTTGTAAACAAGGCCTTTTTTTTTTTTAAAGCACTAGATCAATGCTTTTTTATCTAATGCTTTACATTGTAGAGGAGAGATGTGGGGTCTTATTGACCCCATATCTCTCCATAAAGAGGACAGGACACTGTTTTTTCTACCACAAGGGATGTCTGCATTCCTTGTGATAGGAATAAAAGTGATTAAAAACATTTAAAAGAACAGTGCAAAAAAAAAAAAGTAATAAAAAAAAAAAAAATGTTTAAAGTGCCCTCGTGTCTGCGGTGATCGCATACATAGGCCATGCCAACATATGTAAACGGTGTCTACAACACACATGTGAAGTATTGCCGCGAACGTCAGAGCAAGAGAAATAATTCTAGCACTAGTTCTCCTCTGTAACTTTAAACTGGTAAACTGTACAAATTTTTAAAGCATCATGCATGGAGATTAAGTACCGTAGTTTGGCGCCATCTGCGAGCATGCGCAAATTTAAAGCATGTTGGGTATCCATTTACTCGGCATAACGTCATCTTTTACATATTACAAAGAAAAATTGGGGTTTGCTGTATATTGTGGGGTTTTTTTATTCATTAAAGTGTATTTTTTTCCCAAAAAATTGCGCTTGAAAAATATATTCATTTTTAAAAACTGTCCATTTTGGTTTTTAGCCAAGTGCATCCTGAATTTTCGGTTTCAGCACCAGAATTTTCATTTTGGTGCACCCCTAGAATAAAATACATGCCCCTTCCGCCACCGCGGCAGACAGACTTGAAGTTCTCCATGAACTACAAGTGTGGTAATCAGCTCCCTT